CGACTACCGACGAAGGACAACGTCGATGGAAGTGGAAGACCGACCATGGCTGACATCAAGTGGAGGTTTGCGCATACTCTAAAAAATCGACCTCCCGTCGTGATGAATCCGAAATGTGGCCGCGGTGGCTGCATGGAATGCATGACCTAGCAGGTTGCGGGCCCCGCAGACGCCTGCCCTGTTGAACATGACCGAAGAATGTCTTGAAACTTTTCAAACACGACCGCCGAGCTCGACTCCAGGTGCCACCGTCTTAGTGTCATTGCAGGCCTCGGTGTGGCTTGCTGCGCCCTGGGACCTGGAGGAACCTCACGGTTTATCGTGAGTGTCCTTCTTGAGGCAGGAATTCCCCAACGTCCATTGTCACAGGTTGACATAACGTTGGCCTGGCGTTCACAGGCAGCAACCTCCCGCTTTCCGCATACAAGTACCACCTAGTGAATGGTCAGCCGGGTGCACGTGCAAAGTGCAGCCCGGCTGTTCGTAGGGAGGAGCCTCACGAGAAATGCGAGCTTCCTCTGGCGGGGAGGCGCAAACTCAGCCACCCTCCACCGAGCAGGAACCTCCGGAAAAGCCCCAATGGGAGATGCGCCTTCTCGCACACCGCTCACTACCCTCAATTTCCTCTTCCAACATCCGGCCTGGCACGATCTCCCATCCGTCGTTTTGGCGTTCGCCCGCTGAAAAAATGTATGCCCTTCACAACAGTTCTCGGAATCTTCTCATACGCCCACCTAGTCTTTTAAATTACGTTTGTTCTCTACATCACGCCATGGTCTTTCGCTGCAAACCGTCTCCTCAGACTCCCGCCGGTGACACCCGACAGACGCGGATCTCTGCGCCGTCCGACACAGGCCCAGCCCGGTGGACACCATCGAGACTTTGCTGCGCTTCTCGTTCGCTAATCGTCAGGTTTGGTCGTCGACAACGGCCTCTACGCCAGCTGCGCCATCCCTTCTCCCGGAATTCGTGCGACTCGCTCCCTCGCCCTCGCCCTGGCGGCCTCTCGACACCGATCCGGGCGCTTCCAGATAACGATCCATTGGCATCCCGTGCTCCAAATAAGCAGCCCTCTACTACATGTACCCAGGGCCTAGCACCAACCTCGACATCAGGAGCCTCTTCTCAACATCGCCTATGGGCCTCAACGAGGCTGCCAAGCGCAGACCGGCCGGCGCCGCCATTGGGCTCGAGGAAACGTCACTCACTCCACCATCGGTGTATCCCCTCACGCGAGTACTACCGCGGTCTACCTATGAGTTGCCTACTAACAATCGTGGAAGACATCGTCGAACCTCCCGATGGCGCTTCGGGACGCTCCGGCCCGGCCTCCCCCAAGAGCCAACGAACTTGGCTTACGCTCCAATAAACATACATCGACACCCGCCATGCCCACACTCTACGCAGAACATCGAACCGAAAACCTCTAGTCGGACGAAAAAGCCAAGATGGTGGCACGGAATCTGGAAGAAGAACAGGCCATACCCAGATGTTCCATCGAGCGCTTTCAAGAGCGGTTAACACCCACGACCCCTGGCAAGCTTCGCAGGCAAAGGCTGGCGCAGATCGAGACAGGCTCAAATGGCCGAGACAGATTGGGGCATGGCAGGATGTCGGTGGAGATCAAGAATAACCAGAGGAGGATTACCGAGACACATGTGGCCACCTCCAGAGGCGGAGACTCTGGGAGTATTTGCGCAAGCCTCAAGGATCATGGGATCAAGTCGGGCAAACTGCAAGAACGGAAACAGAGACCTTGGTCTCAGATTGTCCACCAGCAAATATTCGATAGGGAGAATTATGACTAGGCCACCCAAGTTCAGATACATTTGCTCCCCAGGCTGCTTAATGAATTTCCATCACGTTTGTGCCCTGTCGGCCCCAGCATAAGTCAAGAACTCCAACTTATGGGCACACATGCACTTTCTAAAGGAGTTGGCTCAACTCAATCAAGATTACATGCCTTCATTTTAGATACGATGAGGACGACAGCCCGGAAAGACATTCTATTTGCCGCAACCTGATCACCATCATGGATGGATGATTAATGGTAAGCGAGACAGATTATCAAGTCCAATCCAAATTCCGAAGTGCAAGTAAAGAGGTCCAGGCAAACCTCTTCTCCAGAAATTCCACAATACGAGCCTTTCAGTTTGCTTTCGGAACATGTGATCATCACACATATTCCAGTGCGCATGACATGAAGTATCCGAACAGCAAAGGCGCGGACCTGAGAGTTGAAGGATTTCGTCAGAACACATAGATTTAGAAGCACGCCATGGACAGACGTTTGACTTGCGATGCCCCTCACATTTGAACAGCTGGAAACACTTGAGAAAAGCAGACTTCTTGTGACAAAATGCCGCGTACGCGTGACCAGCGTCAAAGACACCAGACGTGCAGATAAATAAGGAATTAATATGTAACCTATCTTAGAACAAGTGTCTACTACGTATCTGGGATATGCGGTGGACATCATCGACTGCTGCTTGAAGATGACCGGTGTTGCCACTCTCAAGCCGCGGCCCGGCCGGACCCCCTAGTCGGGCCGGACTCGGCGTCCGCCGGAGAATGATCAATCCAAGCATCGAATGCTTGAACATGACCAACAGTGCCATCATCAAGCCTTACGTGGCAGGTAAAGCAATCCACCGAATAGGAATCCTTCTCTGCGGTGTCATTTCTTCACGCATCAGCCTTTGCTGGATTGTGAGGCAAGGTAAGGCAGGTCTATCAAGGGAGGTGCGGCCCGCCCATTCGACACCGTTGTTCCTGCTCTCCCGCGAATTGACACCATTCACCGTCCGGACGCAACTCCACCTAATCAGCATTCCTGAATTCTACATCCACGAGAAATCATGGATAACATCGCGGAATCATCTGCAGTCCCCGGGCCTGGAAGACTCTCGGCGTCTACAAGAGAACTTCTGCGTCGCCGCCCAGCCTAGAATCGCATCTACAGCACAGCTTCCCCCACATCTGTAAGCCCTCGAAGACGGACTTGAGAAAGTGCCTCATTGTCTGGACGTTTGCGACGTGCGCCGATCTTTACCCCCAATATCGTCCTCAGTATCCTCCCGCTTCTTCAGCCGGACAAGTTCACCCTCTGCGATAGACACAGACTAACGCTTCCGCATGCGTCATACCATCGAGACGTCGAGAAAAGATTCGTGCTTTTTGTATTGGGTACGACAACCGTCGCCACAGTGGAGCGCTCTTCAATGCACCGCGCGACTTTTCGCAAGCCAGCCCGGACTGGCCTGGATCTTCTGCGTGTTTCGACAATTGCGATGGCGATCACTGAGCAGCCAGTACCAGGGGCAATACACATCGCAAGACGAAAGCCATAACTCTAAACGACGTGGCTTGGGCCCATGATCAGATTACACATGCAACTTCAAAGCCCAATCGTTTGGCCGCTACATCTACATCTACAACCATCGGTACGGCAAGGCTGAAAGCAGCTCCAGGTCTATCGAAACACCACGACGATTCATTCGACCAAGATCCTGAGACTATACTTTCCTAGTCAGAGACGCGTTCTTTGCCATCTACTTCCGCCGTATCCGCTCTGGAGGCTCGCCGACGATCCCTGTTGGAACCCTGCTTCCTCGATTCCGACGATAGAGCCAACTGTTCCCTCCTCAGTCTTTTCGACCACAGTCACCACGATTCAATTGACTACTTGAGCCCCCTTCATGGCCGTCTTGAGTATCCGAACGCCGCGGGTTTCATCAGCACACATCTGCGCGTGGTCGAAGGATGGGAGCATGACGGAAATACCTCGAACGACCTAAACCACGTTTTCCAAAGTCCCAACAAGTATGGGATACAAAACCACACCCCGACATTGATTTACACAATCATGACAACGACGTGATCTACCAATGCGACGAAATAGATACTGGCCTTCCGTTCATCAACAACACTGGGGAAGACTACATCTTTATAGTCAACAACGACCATTCTGACCAGAACCGCTTGCAGTATACCGTCAACAACGAAGATCGGGGCAATACAGAAGGGATGAACTACGGTTTCGACGACTCTCCCGTCCGGAAATAAGACGATCTCCGTGATTCAAGCCTAGAAAGCTCCTCGACTGAGCGGATGGGGGAATGTTGCGTGGTACCCTCTGCAATCACCTCCGATACAACTTCTACTGGCGATGGTTTGGCTGGAAGGTTTGAGTCTGCAGGCCCAATTACCAGAAAAGGCTTCGTATCTGACAACTCTTGACAGCAGCTCCGAAGCATCCAGCCCGAGGCAAAGCGAAGCAGTCGTACACTCCGAGACTATAAAGAAAAGACTGGGATCCCGACATACTTGGACCATTTTCTCGAAAGTCTCGGCGGCCCTCCTTCTCCTGTCCTTGATGGTATCGTCGAGTTAAAGGCCCAAAAGCGGCCTTGTCTGATGGGGGACAATCATGCATCAAAGACCTATCGAATCGGAACCATGGCAGCATTGTTTCAACAAGATCCCAGTGCTCTTCTGGAACCCAATCGAAGCGTCGAACACGAATGACTGTTTGAAGCGCTGTCGATGTTGGCAAGACCCGTTGGAGTTTCAACAATCGACCCCTGCGAAGTCTGGAGAATGATGTCCAACAACTACATCCCTCAATCTGGCATTTGCGAAATGGTCAACAAGAGCAACATGTGCTTGAAACGGTCAGGTACGATGGGGTCGTTGCTGACCGATTCACCCCAACACGATAGGATGTAAGGGAAGGAAGTAAGGTCGTGGAGAACACAAGGAAGTTTCGGTTCATTGATTCCTGCCTGAAGGTAGAGCAAGGTGCAGTGGGCTGAAATACATTGTCAACATCCTACGACGATTTCTGATACAGGACGCCTATTCTCTCCCTCCATTCATTTCAGACCCAGAATCTCGCCGTTCGGTAGAAATCATCGACCAACTACTTCTGCGCCAACCCTTTTCAAACACCACAGCCATCGCAAGCTCCAAGTCCTGGCGCACAGCCTCACATATCGACCATGGCGCGAGACAAAGAATCCAGCATGGCCTGCACCGACGGTTGTCAGCCCGAGACTGACGCTGCTATCTCCCCGACGAAAAAGAAGAATCTCAGAAGACCCCTAAAGATTCAACAGCGTCCCACCACAACAGCTCTCACATCCCATGACTATAGAGAGGAGGATCCCGAGATCGGGATTGGTGTGGAGATGACTGAGTACTCGGACCACTCGAACACCTCGATGACAAAGTTCCAAGAACCAGCATCGCCACCATCGATCTATGAGGCTCCCATCGCCATCCCGGAAATGCCCATCTTTGAGGATTCCCCCACCGATCACGAGTCCGAAAAGCCCCCTGTCACCCCGAGAAGAGCCGCACCTCCAGTGGCGTCCAACAATACTTCCAACAAGGCCGATCCCAACGCAAGCCGCTTGGCAAAGAAGCAGAACGACACGATGTCCATTGCAGAAGACCCAAGAAAGTGCTACCGCGAAGGTCGCTCGAGGCGTTGAGAGACATCTGTCGGTTATCGGAGTTTTTGCACCATGGCAGAAGGTGGCCATGGCCAAGGGGGTGTACCAAACACCGGAGGGAATCTTGAACGAAATATGAGACTAGTGAGGCCATGCCGGGTCATTGTCGAGAGTCAAGCATCCGCGCATGTGGTATTGCGGATTGAATGGGCTGATTATCGAGGTTCATCAGGAACACCCACAAGCCTTCTTTCCGAAGACGGTTCCGAATATGCTATCATGGCTATTATGACCCCAAGGGATCAGACTACGTGCTCCCAGAGATTACTCTGCGAGCGGGGAGAGGCCGCATGTCGTGACCCTCACCTCGGATGAATGGAGAAAACTGTTGATTGAATTGGTTTTAAGAGGAAACATGCGCCAGGCTTTTCTTGTCAACCCATAGCTTTGCACGTCGGACTGGAAGAGCAGAGATATCAGAGGCATGTATATTGCTGCCGGTGGTGTATAGTTTCTCCCAAAGAGAGAAAGAGAGGGATGCAAGATATTCAGATAGTGTAACATCCCAATACATCGCTTATTCCATCAAGTAAATGCATAATGGTAAGGAACTTGAGATCTGACATCGCTCCATTGGCTCAGTATCCCAACGGACCAAGCACTTCGTTTCAATTTTCGCGACATCGAAGGTGAACAAGCCGGTTCATTCCTCAGCAGATTCATTACAACCCAACGCCATACTCCTGACATTCTTATAAAGTTTAGAACATTTTTCTGAGCTCAAGGGGGTAGATCTTCTCTTGAGTCTGGCTGCAGTGACTTGCATTGGGTCGTTGTCCGGCGGGCGCCGAGTCGGGACCCACATTTGCCGGAGCCCGGCCGGGAAACACCAGGTGCAATTTTTTAGACCACGGTTGGAAACGAAAACACTCGATTCTCGACACCGTTCCATTCAGCATTTCATCGGTCTTATATCTGCCCACCGTGCAGCGACTTCAATAAAGTGGCAAGAGGCTAGACACGCAGGCTGACCGGCACCCGAGAATGCGCCGATGGCTCACAAGCCCACAGCCAGTGCGGAGACTGTTGCATCTCACAAGCGGCGACACGTTGAGTCGGATATCCAAGCGACTTTGACGGGTTGGCTGCGCTAAGTCGAAGTCATTGGTGAGAGGCCGTCTGAATGAATAGTTGCTTTACTTCCTGCGATTCTATCCAATGATGGCGAAAATATGACTGGCAAGCCGCGCACAACGAAAAGCATGACTCTCCCGGCGCTCACAGGCAATATCAAGACTTAAAGACGGTTTAGAATGCGACGAGTAGATCAATAGAAACTGCAGGCGGAGACTCATCTCGAACAACGTCGCATCTTCCTCGCAAGAGGATGCAAGGGTTATTCCATACAACAGCAGCGGCAACTGGCAGAGGCAGCTGGGAACAGGAGTTGGCTTGTCTACAAGAGGTCAGAAATCCAGATGAGATGGCCGCTAGGAGTGTGCAAATGCGACATGGTCGAATCCCGAGTGTTGCTGGGAGAAAGACGGCGAAGCTCGTGGATGGAGAAACCGACCGGGTGGCTTGGGCCTGTGGCTGGTGCCTTTAGAGAAGCGGGCCCGACCCCCGCCAGCAACATCCAATCCAATTGGAAATTAGATGGATATCACTGCGCGGGCAATAGAACGTGACAAATGCAATACGCCGCGCAATATAATATAGCTACCCTTATAATCTAGTTATAGATATCTTATTATATTTAATAAGTATATATTTAATATTTAATATTCTAAAAGAATAAAACTCTATCTTAATAAGCTTTATAGTATATATAATAATATATAAATAGCCTTACTCTTAAGGTTAGAGGGGGTAAAACCTTAATAAGGGATATTAATCTATAAGAGACTATCTCTTTTATTAAGATTATATTATAACCCTTATTCTTTTATTTTCTTTTCTATCTACTTAAAATATCTTCTTTTTATATTTTTAATTTTATATTAGCTAATATTAATATCCTTATTAATATAATTATAAACCTTAATTATTATTTTTAACCCCTTAATAATATTAAAAATAATTACCCCTCTTACTTAAAGTATATTAAAAAAACTTTAAAGATATATTATATTAAAAATATTATAATAAATATTATTTTATTAAATAAATAAATAACTTAGAAATATTATATTATTTATATAATACTATAAAGATATTTAGATTAACTTATAGCTTAAATAGTATTTAAAATAGAGAATAAGCTATTAATAATACTCTATATATTATAATATAATAAGCTATATAATAACTTTAAATTTAATCTATTTAATACCTTAATAATAATAAGATAATATATAGAGGTATTAGTTAGGATCTAGATATATTAGATATAAGGTTAATAGTTTCTACTTTAGATATACTAGGTATAATTAGGCTTAAATTAATTCTTATTATTAAATAATAGCGCTAATATAGGAAAGGTAACACATAAGCAATGGAATGTGACTGCCTAAGAACACCGCGAGAGAATGACCGCGCGGAAATCCTACAATCTTTACATTTCCATCCATTTTTCTCCCAATCCACGACGACTTTCGCAGGCAGGGTGGCATTCTCTTCTGGATAGCTGGTATCGACGCGGCTTTTCCGATAATGACAACACTCCGAACAAATCGAGCCTACCGCATCTTGCGCCACCGTCTACTTCAATGACTCCACAAACCCGGCCGGCGACTGTCGCCAAATGCAACATTGAGACTTCCGCGGGCAGTCTTCAGCAACGATTGCAAGTCGCCGCGCAACGATCGTTCTTTTCGCCCTATTCGAGATCTCGTCATACCCAACGAGTACCCGAATCCATTCACCGCCGCCCTCTCTCTGTCAGGTTATTCCCTCGTCCACCGTCATCAGCCGTCGAAAGTCAACGCCTGCCCCAGCCGCGCCGAAACAAGACCGAAGACCAAATTCTGTCAGCGAACTCTCCATTAGGCCGCATCGACTGCTTCGAATGTCTTGTGGCACTCGCTAGCCTCACCGAGGAAAGTCAAGAGCGACGTCGGCACTGATGTCTCTCTCTTTGCGACGTCTCTTCTCCGTCCCATCCTCGTCGTCATGTCCGCGCAGGCAACGGCGTCTGAAATTAGGCTGTCGCTGATGGGAACTGCTGAGCCCACCAGGTAAGGCATATAGCTATCCCCATACCCTTCGATTGTGTGATGGACTTTGGGCTAACTGCATCTTTCTCTCTAGCATCAATCTGAACGATATGGACGAAGTATCTCTTGCTGCAGTCAGCCCGCCGTCATCACCGTACAAAGCTTTTCCCTGGAAAACGCACTCGACAGGCTGTGTCACAGATACCACGTTGCCGCTGCGTCGATTCTCCACCGCCGGACACGCCCCTTGTCTCGATCCCGAAGTCCAACACGACCTGCCACGTCCGATGGACCGCCCCTGCGCTGGGAACCAAAGTTGGTAATACCAGGAGCAACGATACCGGCGAAGAAGGCGAAGAAGGCGAAGGAGTCGAAAGAGTCGCAGAGCGTACTGTGCCCAGAGGCTCGTCCGCGCGGGGCCGTGTGGGTATTCCTGTTCATCTTTGACAAGCCTTTGTTTACCAAAAGGGACCCAGGGTACTTGGGCGGGGAAGCACTCTGGTTATGTGATCGAAGAAGTCACACATGTCGCTCTTGCTCCAAGCCTCCTCTCACGTTCGGACCGTCTTCATTTGCATTCTCCCGAGTCAGGTTACGCGAACGTGCACAGGTGTTACGTGCACAGGTGTTGAATAAGTCTGGGGGACTAGAGATCTTTGCCGCGTGCAGATCTCGGGGTGGTCGTGTTGGCGGAGGTGTGGGCGGAAGTGTACTCGATCGTATGGTTGAGCTGGTGCTGGTCTGATCTCAGTTGGAACGTCGGACGTTATGCAGGCCAATACGATTGTGTGGTTTCTAGGCAGAACGCTGGTCACGCCGTTGGTTCAAAGACGGTCTCAAGCCTGCATCTGGATGCAGGAGCTGAGGCCCAGCAATACCAAGCCACACGTGACGGCTCACTGCCGACATTGTGATCAAGCCCATCGATGGGAGCTGAGGCTCGACTCTATGGATGTCAGGAACCACATTCCGAGAAGCGCACCGTCGATGCCGGAACCACACCCCTGGTATTCGCGTCCATGTTTGAAGGCGGGTCTACCAATCTGGGGCTTTCGAACGACGGGAAATGTCGAGCGCTTCCACCAACAAACAGTATCACCGTGAAGAAGCGAGAGCCTGCTCCCATATTCCGGGGATTGCCATCGGTCCCGAGAGCTGGTGTACTCCTGGCAGTCGCCCCGTTCAGTATCCCGCGTCGGTCGGCTTGACGAAGAAGATCAGGCAAAACTGTCCAGCAGCAAGCCGGTAGTGAAATGATGTATGCTGGTGGACAGCGTGGTGGTAACACAGACACTGATCAAAATGCCACGGTCTTCATTCCCACGGATGGAGGCTCCCATCGTCGCGATTGAATGTCATGGTGATCTCAGATGGATCTCCAACCCTGCTGGTGGTATCAAGGGGAGCATCACAAGACCTTTGGCGCGTAGTTCACCCATCGCATGATCCAAATTGGGAGTCTCAGCTACCGTATATCTTTTGCCGTTCCTTCAATTTCGGCAGACCGCCAGAACATTTATCAGCTGATCAGGCGTCATACAAACATTCACATACCGACTCCTCCCTGTCTCCCTGTGGACTCCCTCGTTGATCGACTGGGCCAGTCAGAGTACAAGCCTGGCAGCCTTCTCGTCGTCCCTTTTGATACAGAACGACATCCCCGCATCCGATACATTTGGCAATCTCCCGTGTGACATGGGAAGCAAACCATATCTGCCTGTGTTAAGTCCCGGAGCTTGTGTTCCGATTTCAACCAAAGTAACGGACGATCACCACCAGGCAGACTTCACAAGCTAGGACCTGAGACGGCGAAGTTGAATTAAGAGCTTGTATGCAGTGATAACTCGGTAAACGCTCAATATGCCCCCTTTGCCGACTCAGAAAGCCCAATGCTTACCAAACCCACGGACGGATGTTCTGTAAATACGGCCCCAGTGACTCCAGCTTCCAAACCCTCCATGAAACGATGAACACCAACGCCCAACTCCATGTAACCTGGAACGCTCGTCCCAAGTTGCTAATGATGAATACCCTCAAATCCAAAAGATGCTGATCCCAGACCCCAAACTCCTTATGAATGATGTTGATGTTGAATTCCGACGTGCTCATGAACCTATGGTGACGCTTCCTGCTTCCGAAACCTCGAAACCGCCTTGCGAAGGACGATGATCAAGACGACACAGCGCCGATAGCCGAGGCCAACCCGCCGGTTATGGTCTTGCAGCTCCAGCTCCGTTAGCCGAACATCGTTGATCACTCTCATAGCTACCTTAGCCGAAGAAGCAAATCCGTCCATGGCCACGGCGCCGCTGCTCGTGAAGAGACCTCGCAAAGACGGGTGATACTGCGCGGACACAAGAGCGGCAGCCTGCTTGATTTTGTCCAAGCGCTCCCTTTGTTCCTGTAATTGCGCGTACTCCTCTGCGCTCTTGACAGTCCGACGAAGACATTGAGTGTGCTGGGTGTGCAGCTTGTAGATATTGTCGGCCAGGAAGGCAAGGGTAGCCTCGCGACGGTCTCGATGCTGGAGTTTCCAAACATCCTGTTGGAGCGAAGACGATATTGGCCTGACGTCTGCCCATTTCCGTTGTCGCGTTCGGAAATTAAGAAGCCACCATCGGCGTTGCTGATCCGAGTCTGCAAAAAGCAGTGGATGCCAAGCCTTGTCAATCTCAGCCGGAGATATTATAGCAGCTCTCGATGTTACCGCAACATGACCAATCCATACGCGGTGAAGAGCAGAGTCAGGAGAGGGCGCGGCCCAATCTTTTTCTCCGGCGACGTCGTGGGCAGAGTGCAGGGCATACAGACCGCAATCGTAGTTGTTCTGCTGCTGCAGGCACTACTAAGATGTAATTAGCAATTGACCGAGACGTTAGGAATGCCAACTTACAGATTCTTCTACAATTTCAACATCTCCTGGCGAGAGATGTCGCAAGACGCAAATGATATCGACCACTGTCTTAGACTTAATATCCAATGCAGTCCGGCTGAGATTGGAGCGTAGGCTATCGTACCGGCGAAGAACTTTCTTTTCGTCGAACCAAGTATACAATACCCAGTGATTCATATCTTCATGCACGGGAAACAGGATCAAAGCCTTCTCTTGAACCTGCCGGGAAAGCCTCGTGATCTTCTTCTCAGTCCACGTGTGGGGGTCTTCGGACGCCACGAGAGAGGAGATGAAACCGACATTCTTTCCAGCTTCTTTCTCCGCATCGCAAGCCTCCTGTGATCGCTTAAGGTTCATGTAGGGCTTGCTGTCAACGTAACGAGGCTGAGTGGTCTTAGTGCGCAGATTTTCACCCGCAGACCCTTCCATGACACGATCATTGCCGGAGCAACATTCAGAAGGAAGATTTCTGGCTTCGTCCGACTCGGCCAGTCGAGTACAATGGGTGCTCTCCATGTCGTGATGCTCTGAACTGTTGAAGACTCGGGAAACAGCTGGGGATTCGACCAGACAGCGCACCTCGGATTCAGCGTCTTGCCGTGTTTCGGGAAGGTCGAAGTCACGCGAATCTGTATGTTGAGAAACGGAGTCCGGGTCTCTCTCGCGGTTGGAGTTGACGTAGTGGTTATTGGGGTTGAATCCTGCAACTTCTGCGCCGCAGAAGCTGCCTTGAAGTGGGGGATCGATTGGAGGTTGTGTCGGGAAACTGCCTTGGGAGACAACACCAGACCGAGGAGCGGCAGGTCCGATAGGCTTCGCAGAATCGTCAATGAGACCGGGCTGTGGAGCCTCGGCGTTGGACGGTGCTGGATAGACGTTTGCGTTCATGGAGGATGGCCGGGCGTTTGCCTTGGACTTTGCGACGTCGTTCCCGGGCGAAGCAGAAAGAACCTCGATAGTAGTAAGAGAAGAGGGAGGACTGCCGGGCTGCGGATCGCTGATTCCGTCCGTAGGCTGAATGACGTCCGTCCAGGCGTCGGGGTGTACTGGAAACGAGGGTCAGTCATGGTTGCGAGACGGAGCCACACGAAGAAGGCAGCGGTGGCGGTTATTGATGAACGTACAAGATCGAATTGCAATTTTCAAGCGCCGCAATGGCAACAGTGGGTATTTTCCCTAGTTCTGATAGCAGATCTTCTCGGTCTGGAAGCAGCTTGTAGAGAGACTTGCAGGCGGCAGCAGCAATCCGGCTGGAGGGGAAAATAGCGCGCCCAAATAGAAACCAAAGAAGAGAAGGAGAAGCCTTGTACAGCTTGGAGACTGAACTGAGGCGGTTGATCCTCTTGTCTTTGGTGGACATGGCTAGGTGGGTTTTGAAATCTTCTGCAACGGCGAGGCAGAGAACTTGGCGATGGACGTTTGCCAGAGCCCAAGCGCGAAAGGAAGACGGGGGAGGGGGAGTACGATGGGCCGGGTCGTCATCCTGGCCATCTGTATCTTTTCCATTGTCGCTGTTCGTAGACCTTCCGGCAGTCTGGTGGCGGTGGTTCCCTTTGTCTCCATCTGTATCGACGTGGGTACCGGGGCCGCGGTCGTCGTTCTCGTCGACGCCGAGACCAGGGTATGCGTTTCTGAAGCTGGTCTTCAATTGCGACCAAGGACGCGTGACAGACTCGCTGTAACCGACTCCGTTCAACCGGTTCAGAGTACGGCGCAGACATTGCGCAGGCATTTCGGCCGACATTGTCTTGGTGGTAGAGCCAGGGTGGTAGCTGTGACTGGCATCGAGGCGAGGTTGGTTGAACAGATTCCGAGGTGTGGCCTGCACGGCCCAGATATGATTGCGTGCCACTGCACCGGACTGCAGCACTAACAGCTGTCGAGTGCCTGCCAGCCCGCCCCGGCTGCCTCCACACCGCACCCGAGTTTCCCCCCGAGTCAAACCACAAAACCCCCGATTGGCCAGAAAAAGACGAACTAGCTAGTCCCCCATTGGACAAAACTCCGGACATCGGTACTACAGTCCAGTGACACCAAGGTAATGTGACCATTTATGCAACGATAATGTCACCTCTGTTTTATCCCTTTTCCTGACGTTGTGTTGCGAAGGAACATCCTCCAAAGTCTACATGATCCCCAGCATCTCAGCTAGATGCCGCTTCACCTTAGGACGGGTGTTTGAAGCGGTGCATGGGATCTCTCAATGTTTCTCTGTCCGTCAGGATTGAGATTTCGCGATCGGGCTCACTTTCATGCGGGTTTAAGTGTGGATGGCAGTGGCCAGTATTGTTACTTAGGGAATCTGCGCAATGATGACGAGGGAGCAAATTGTATCAGGGAGTTGAGTTCTGATGTTGAGAGGTAAGCCTAGGTCGTGGGCTGCATAGGAAGATGTTGAAGTGGAGGCAGTTGGCAGAATCAAGTCGGCCATTTGGTCATTGGCTTGTCATGAAACAAGCCGAAATGGAGGGGCATACCTTCGAACTTCGCACCAACAGGTGATGGATGCAGGAAGCTCACGGTGAATTGTGAGGGTCCTCCCAGCCACAGAATCTGGAAGGCGGGTGCCTGATTCCCCGTGCACATCACGATCCACATGGAATCAGCTCGTTCGGTTCGGAAACTTCAGCAAGACGCTTACTTTCCTGGCATTCTTCCAGCAACTTCCGACAATCTGGACTTCAAGTATCAACGTCCTGGATTCAGATCTTCGTTCAGACTAAACTTTGCAAAGTCGATCGCCCTCACAGACTTCCTCGTCATATCGACCGCAAACGAACTCGTCGTCACAGATTGCCGGCCGCCATTCCGTCAATTATGAATATTGTTGGACCTGCGGGTATTCTGTGGATGGTTTTTGAGTGCACTCAGCCCACTTAGTGTACAAAACATCCGATGGCGATTCTGAGGGATAGCCTGCTCCTGAAGCACACCAAGCATGTCGTGAAGTATCCGTCGCGGGAGTAATCTACCCAGAAAATGTGACCCGAAGAACTCTTAAAGGCTTGTCAGTAAACGTTGGGGTGGCAGCTGTCGGGTCCGGCACCCCAAGACGGGGTTGGTGCTGGCGGGGCGAACATGGTTGAAAAGGTTGGTGGCACAAAACCGTCTCACGAGACGTGCCACTATTCGGAAGTCAGCCTTCGAACACACCTTCGACCACAGCGTTGACACGGCCGTGGTATCGTTCCTTTCATGAACCGTCAGTCTTCCCCATGATAGGGCAATTCAAGAACCATTGCACCAGAGCTCGCCGATGGCTCCCGTGGAATTTCGTGCAGATTTACCGTAGCGACTAAGCACGGCAAAAAACACCATCTGTCGGCATATTCCTTGAACGAGGCCTGCATGGCCCAGCGAAGCGCGAAAATCACTCCGCAATGCCTCTGGGTATCGTCTAAATTGACATTAGATCATGGACTAATCCCGAGTCTTTTGTGAATGGTCTGCTCCATAGTAAGTGAGTGATGGTTGTGATCTATAGAGCTGGCACGACTCTGTTGCCGAGTGATGACGCCCATCTTTGCAAGACGACTTGAAGATAGCCTCAACTTGGGCTGACCGACGCCTGTTGTATTCTTTGCAAATGGCGATCACGAACCGTGTGCCTTTTCAAAGACTGAGCCGCCACTCAATGTTTCAGGATAACGACCACGACTTCAACAAAGTTCGTAAGACCCGAGGCAATATCGGGTGCGGCGTAGCAGACAACAGCACGAAGACAGACAGACTAATGCGGCCCATGGATCTAGCTACAGTCACATTCTGGACTGCAGTCACGTTTTGGACTGGACTCACGTTCTGGACTGGACTCACGTTTTGGACTGGACTCACGTTTTGGACTGGACTCACATTCTGGACTGGACTTACATTCTGGACTGGAGTCACATTCTAGCAAGTCGGCAGTCCGCTTGACCCTCCGACTCTACGAGGAACCTGCTTGCCCTACCCTTGAGTACTATGCTCGACTTACCATGGCCTCACGCCCTCCTCTCCAATCGCATACTCATCCACACCTTTCACGGCGCTGAGCTTGGAGCACCTAAGTACAGCAATGACCTTGCGGAAACCATCTCTAACACACCAAACTTGATCATGAAGCCGCATTATGATCTCTCGTTTGGCCTTTCCCTATTCTGCGTTGGCCATCAAGACAGATGGAGGCCAAGTCACAAGTCGAAACGACAATCAACGCACGCTACGCTTCCACGACAAACCGTTAATTCCCTTCGCCATTCGGCTGGGACCGGAGGCGCTAGCTTGGTGATACTGTCAGCAGTTGTGCAGCTGGCTGTCTGGTGTTGTCCTTGTTATGGCTTCTTGGATAGTCTGCTATCCGCTAGAAGCATTTGGTTTTGACTGTCTCTATTGTTCTCAACGCGAATCTACACTTCATGGCCTCGGCCACTTGTTATTCTGTTCGTCGCCATTATCTTCAACAGTCAATACAAATTGTTTGCTCTCCGTTCCTCCCAAACCGGGAGTTTCCAGCTTCGTTGCTTCGTTGCTTCCGGAGACATATTCTCGATCGGCAGCTACAATGTCAGACACTCTAGTTTGCGCGCTCGCCTTGCACCTGTGGCCGTCAAAGCAATGCTTTCGGCCTGATCTTCCATCAAAGTGGCGTTCCAACGTCCCTCCACAACACTTCCTCAACGGCCACTACTGCTGCTTGACAACTCGTAGCACAATATCCGCCGGCGGATGAGTCTCCCTAGTTTCTTCCGGTGCTTCGACTAGATTCAGTCATCCTCGCTTCCTGAGTCCCCTCGATTACCGCCCACACGCATCGTCGCTGGACATCGTTTAGAATCTCTCTCTTGGGCAGCTTCGCCCCTCTAGAGATAGTGTTTTTGTGTGACATTGCCTTCAACATACAGCAAGGTTACTTACTTCCCCCAGAGTCTTAAAATTTGCCAAACCGCCTGGTCACACCCAGCCGGGTCAACAACCTCCAAGCTGGCACAATCGATTCTTCTCAACTGGCTTGATGTCCAGCAAGGTACACTGCCTTCTTGTGATATTCCTACGCGAACGAGTCGTTGCAACCGAGACTCGTCTAGCCGCCAAGCCTGATCAAGCTCGCTGTATCCGGTACTTCGCAAGCCCCGAACGACGGTATATAACAAGGACTAAGACAAACGTAAAGATTTGTCCCTCGAAGAACGTGTCAGGGTACGTGTCTCTTGAACGCAAGTCGTACATCATCTCTTTCAGACTGGCAAGTTCTTCGATCTTGTACGTTGAGATTACCAGCCATCTACACCATAGATGTGCCCCAGAAGTCCCCTTTGATATCGATTTTCCTCTTGCAGAGATGAAGCGGGCATTTATGCAACTTCTCAGATCATCTTTCAGTTCATGACCGGACCATTTGGGAAGTCTATTGGTTGAGAGAAACTAAACGTTGGAACGCGAAACGAGCTTGATATAACCTCACACCTCCCGAGCATGTCATCGACGTCAGACTCGCTCTTGGTGTCGATGACTGCGTACTGGTGATCTCACGATTACAGCTGCAATCAAGTCCGTATGACGAGGGTGCTTTGCCGATTTCAAACTCAATATCCAAGAAGACATTGCTCCGGGGAAAAGAAGGTTCCTCCGATGTCTTTATTACTATGAACTGTCGCAGACGGGTCCAGAAGCCTTCACTTCGGGTGGTTTGCAAGGGGCCTTTTGTCCGATATTACTTCTTATACACACTTCTCTCCCACGAGCCTGGGAACTATGCCTCCACCATCTCTGACTTAAGTGGGCGATGATATGGCACGATGAGTTCGTGGATGTTTTGTTCCCCAGGCAAATCGGTGTTTCCAAGTTTTCCCATCCTTCTTAAATAAAGTCATGGCCAGTTATCGTGATATTGACACCATATGAGATGATGACTTCGAATGATCTCTGACTTTCCTCTTTCGATGTAATATCGTCTGCCTGCTCCTAGTCTGGACGATCTCCAGCAGCATGTGATGTTTGTGGCAGATTGTTTGCGCCATGGCGAAGATACATGTTGGCGCCCTCATTGCCTCTCTCGTGATCATGGACGAAGATATGAACGACCGAGAGTGGATATCTGGAAACGAGACACTGCCGCTTGTTGACCTTTCTTCCGAATACTGACGACATGCACAGACTGGCAGCGGGACGGAGCTCTCAGCCCAGTGTCCATGTCCTCTCTTGTGACCCGGTTTGGTCAGCTTCAAGACAACCTCCCCCGGCTGCTGATTTACTTTTGCTCTGTTGTAGACAAATGACGGGCTTTGGAGGTCAGGAGATAGTTCGTATGCTCTGTAAAGCTGTGAGACCGAAGTTTCATAGCTCAAGAGACCACATCCAGAAGTTACTGAATCATGAAGCGCGTGTATACTGGCTAAGGTGTAGTATAATAGCCAAGATCATGGCTTCATTCACGTTGAGCAATAGAAACCTCTGCTTCCATCAACATGATGATTCGTCTTCAGGGAAACGTGATGTGCGCGCCTCACAGTTATTTCCAATGAAAGGCAAGATGGTGATGTGTCCCTCGTTATTGGTCACACGGGTCCTGGAGACGCCGAACCACGAACGTCATGATGCTTTCCAGGCTTGCGCGGACGTGAAGACTGGTCATATTCAACCATGACTACGGGCGCTACCTCTTGACCACTTCTATCTCAAACTTTTGTCTGGCATTTGCGGTCTGTCTGGCTCTCTAACTGAAGAAGACAAGATTTGAGGTTCTCCGAGGTAACGCAATGCTTGCAA